CATATATTCGTTAGAATAATAATACGACAACAAAGTTGGAAGAGCCAGTTTATCCCTATGTTATCTCTTGTTTTGATAATTTGTATTTATGTATTATATTGTTTTTGTTGTTTTATTTCATTTCTAACCACAATTCAACTATTTTGACCCCAAAACAAACACATTAACTTGAAAACAAGACCAAATAACCAATGATTTCTCTTTTTTTAAAAGAATAAATGGTATTTCCATATGTTTGGTACATAAATCACAAAAATGAGCGATTTTAGGGCTGACATGCAAAAACAAAAGGTCACGTGACTCCGCAACTATACGTCCAATTTTCAACAAAAAATTTTTTCAAAAGATGCGTAAGACTCGAAAGAAAAAAGTCATGACAGAAAAACTTTATATGTGCCACGGTTCCGGAGTAGTCGCGAAATTACTAGAGAGCACTAATCTTTTTTTGGGGCCCTCGAAAATTTGAAAAATCGTACCCCCCCCCCCCCCTTGAACGCCAGGGAGGGGGGGGGCCTATCTCCCCAAAATGGTAAAATTAACGTGTTTTTTTACACGTTTTTTTCACAGGGCGGAGCCCTCAGAAGCTCAGGGGTATTAAACATCAAAATTAATGTCGGATGAGCATAATTTCATACCTTATTTGTGACAGTGGCAGGACACAATTTGGAGTTGGGTCCAGGGGGCGGAGCCCCCAGAAGCTCAGGAGTTTTGTACATTAAATTATTATTATTTTATACCTTATTATTTGTGACACAGGGGTCACGAATTGGCGTGGGGTCAAGGGGGTGGAGCACCCGGAAGCTCAGGGGTTTTGGGCAATAAATAACGGTCAGATGAGCATATTTTTATATCTATTTGTGACATTGGGAGGACACAAATTGGTGTTGGATCCAAGGGGCGGAGCCCCAAGAAGGTGAGGGGTTTTATACATCAAATATCGTCAGATGAGCATATTTTTATATCTATTTGTGACACTGGCAGGACACAAATTCTTCTTCCTCTTCTTTCTTTCCTTTTATCTTTTTTTTCCCTTTCCTTCTCTCTCTCTCTCTCTCTCTCTTATTTATTTTTTGGCGGGGGGGGGGGGGGGGGCGGAGGAGGCAAGAGCCCTTCGCCCCCGTTTCCCTCTTTTCTTATTCTTATTCCTCTTCTTTCTTTCCTTTCATATTTTCTTTCCCTTTCCCTTCTCTCTCTGATTTATTTTTGGCGGGGGGGGGGGGGGGGAGGGGGAGGGCAAGAGCCCTTCGCCCCCGTTTCCATCTTTTCTTCTTTCCTTTTTCCTCTTCTTTCTTTCCTTTTATCTTCTCTTTTCCTTTCGCTTTCCAATCTCTCTCTCTCTCTCTTACTTATTTTTTGGCGGGGGGGGGGGGGGGGGGGGATGGGAGGAGGGAGAGGAGGCAAGAGCCCCCCCCCCCCCCCCCCCCCCCCCGTTTCCCTCTTTTCTTCTTATTCTTCTTTTTTTCCTTTTATCTTCCCTTTCCCTTTCCCTTTTTCCCTTCTCTCTGTCTCCCCCATCAACATAGTAATAACGAAAGAGACCACTCTGTAATCAAGACCATTCCATTTTATTTAATACATTTTCGATAATCGATATACTTAAATTGGCAACTATTACCTTCTGTCCCAGATCCTCATTTTAAACGACTGATGCGAAAGACTAGTCGACGCACCCTTTCGAGAAAAGCCCCCCCGCTTTTATCGAAAGGGTGTGTTAAAACGGTACTCCGCTCTCAACGCACCCTTTCGAGAAAAGACCCCCCTCTTTTATCGAATGGGTGCGTTGAGCACACCACACCGCGCCGTACCGCACCCTTTCGATGAAAGCCCGCCGAGCGGTACACTCGTACTCACTTTCACTTGGACAGGGAATTATCAATGATTACTTTAACAATTTCTCATGCTATTTCCCTCGCTTTGTGACGGGGAGTTCTCGCACTATACAATTTATCAGTTTCACGCGACATGCTCACAAAAATAACGTTGAAAGAGAAAGAAAATCATTCATTTACCATGCAGTGTTGGTACTCCCCGGCAACTGATCCAGACAAATGGACAGGATATGGCTGACGTACGTTGCAATTGCATGAGCACATGCAATTTTTTTTACCCGGATGTAGCGGTACTAGGTCGTATTTGCTACGTTGGCCCAACGTCATATAGCCAACCAATATATATACATGCACTATTTATCAGTAAAGATGGAGACGATATAGACCAACGTTATTAAGCCAAGGTTGGCCCAACGTCGCGTATATTAGCCAACACAGGGCTTAAATTAATCCAAGGCCACCAAGGCCATGGCCTTGGATGCCCCCTTGATTGGCCTCAATGCCCCTCCCATTGGCCTTGGAGATTTTTGGTGCCCTTTCCAATTCTTCCTATTTGTGCTGTAATATAGGAATGTGCCCTACAGAAAAGTGGCCTTGCCCTAAAAATACTGAAATTTAAGGCCTGCCAACATATCCACCATTTCTCAGTAAAATTTGAAACGATTGACCAACATTGAGCCAACGTTAATAGCCAAACGTCGAATAGCCAACCAACAGCCACAATTTAACAGTAATAATTGAGACGATGGACCAACGTTCAGCCAACATTGGCCCAACATCGAATGGCCAGCCAAAAGCCAACATTTAAAATTTAAAATTGAGACGATGGACCAACGTTCAGCCGTTAGCCCAACGTCGAATAGCCAACCCAAAGCCACCATTTAAAAGATAAAATTTAGACGATGGACCAACATGAAGCCAACATTGGCCCAACGCCGAATAGCCAACCAACAGCCAACATTTATAAGTTAAAATTGAGACGATGGTCCAACTTTCAGCCAACATTGGCCTAACGTCGAATAGCCAACCAAACGCCAACAGTTATCAGTAATATTTGAGACAATGGACCAACGTTCAGCCAACATTGGCCCAACATCGAATAGCCAACCAATAGCCACCATTTATCAGTGAAAATGGCGACAATGGACCAACGTTTAGCCAACATTGGCCCAACGTCGAATAGCCAACCAAAAGCCACCATTTATCAGTGAAAATGGCGACAATGAGCCAACGTTAGCCCAACGTCGAATAGCCAACTAATAACCAATATTTATCTGTGATAATTGAGACGATGGACCAACATTTAGGCAACATTGGCCCAACGTCGAATAGCCAACCCAAAGACACCATTTATCAGTGAAAATGGCGACAATGGACCAACATTGAACCAACAATAGCCCAACCTCGAATAGCCAACCAAAAGCCACCATTTATCAGTGAAAATGGCGACGATGGACCAACGTTCAGCCAACATTGGCCCAACGTCGAATAGCCAACCAATAGCCACCATTTATCAGTGAAAATGGCGACAATGGACCAACGTTCAGCCAACATTGGCCCAACGTCGAATAGCCAACCAATAGCCACCATTTATCAGTGGAAATGGCGACAATGGACCAACGTCGAATATCCAACCAATAGCCACCATTTTAGGCCTGAGTCATGTCGGGATTTTCATAAACCGGGTCCCGACGGCGTTGTACCGATCGGGACCCGGTGTCCCGAAATCAGCTCGCAGGATTTGTCACTTGCCTCTATAAAAAGCGCATATCAATTTTATCATCAGTATGTCCCTTAAAAGTGACCTTTTTTATCAATCAAATAAATCAACACATGCATACCTCGGCTCAGATCGGTATATTCTTCCATTTGATATTATTTTCATCCATAATTGGCTATGTTTAGTGCCATTATCGTGCCTCTAAAAGTAAAAAAAACTGAGGCAAAAACAGCAAGACAACATTCGAGCCGCCATTTTAATTTATGCAAGTTGAATAAATCTGGTCAAAAACTATGAATGTTACAATAAGAAAACAGCTTTCTAAAAAATTCTTCTTTTCAATATACCGATCATATTATTTTTTAAAGACAAAATAAATATTAAAAAAATGAATATGATTGGTAACAATTAAATACTTAAGTTTTAAGGTGGAATGATTTTAGTGGTGTGCAAAACTGCAATTTCTTACATATTTCGTTATTTTTTTCGGAGCGTCGGTTCTCAAAAAACGAAACCGGGACCCGACGGCAACGGTCGGGTCCCGGTGTGATCGACCGTACCGACTCAAGCCTACACCATTTATCAGTGAAAATGGCGACAATGGACCAACGTTCAGCCAACATTGGCCCAATCGTCGAATAGCCAACCAATAGCCACCATTTATCATTGAAAATGGCGACAATGGACCAACGTTCAGCCAACATTGGCCCAACGTCGAATGAGCCAACCAATAGCCACCATTTATCAGTAAAAAATGGCGACGATGGCCCAACGATTAGCCAACGTTGGCTTGCCGACTGCGACCCTGCCGACCGTGGCCGACGTTGGCCCAACGCCGTATTGTTATCTGGGCTGCGGTGATCAGAAATTGGAATCTGAATTAGACAGAGATATCGTGTGCGCTGCGGTATCCGGCTGCATTGATTAAATACATGCGATGAGATACTTTTGAGCTTGCGTCTCACACAAAATTGGACTCTAAATCTGAAAAATGCTTGAAATAAAGCTCATTTTATGGTACCCATATTCCTTACACGCGTAAGATACATAATTTTTCAGATTCGGGGAGCGGGACCGCCGATTACATCGCTAAAATGTGATATATTAGGATATATTTTCCATTGCAAATGTGGTTCTTCAGTGACTCTGGTATGGTATGGTATGTGTGGGATATGTGTTATGCTATTATGCGATGTATTTTAGAGTGATTTTACCTTGCATCCAACCAATCGGCCGAAAACGGGAGCTGGCCGATTACCGGCTCCTTTACTCTACCATATGCAGCCAACGGATCGGCCGAAAACTGGTGATGGTCGATTACCCCCTCCTTTAGTTACTCTATTCTTAATCATTTGATTTGGCTTTTTGAGCCATTCACCCCTTGAGCATGCAATACAATCTCAAAGTGACAGTTCGCAAACTAAAAATATTGTTTGATAGTAAGTACATACCTCCCAGACACACGTGAGCCTTTTGCAAAGCAGCTGCAAGTTGTGGGCCACTAATGACGCGGATCTTCACATGTGGGACCAGGGCCAAAAATAGGGCTGTCCAAACACTTATTCAGGGAAAGCTTCCTTGATCTCTGAATTAGCTGTTAGTTCTTCTGGCACCTCTCCAGCATTCATGTTACTCTTCTGTAATATCTGGTATTGATCTCCTTTGAACACCTTCCTCTTCCTCACATATTTTGGAGTTTTGCGAAGCATTTTCAGTGAGTAGAAATTGGAGACCAACGGCTAGAAGAGTTATTCAAATCTTGGGCAGCCCTTGTACTTTCTGCTGATATACATTACTTGTTACAATTTGGTTTAGAATTTTTTATTTAATGATTTCTTTAATTGATTGAGACTAATTGAGTGTAAACAGAGGCAGTGGAGCGACTTCCAAAGTGGGGGGGGGGAGGGGGGCACCAAAAAAAGGGCACTTTCTGGAGAAAATAAATAGGGCACCTACAAAAGGAAATCTCAAAGCGAAAATATATATTTAAAAAAAAAACATTCGTATATACCCCCTATATTGTGATTACATTATCAGGGATGATTTCAATATTTTTTTATCTTCATAAATAAGATTTGTGAGGTCGCAGTGCGAAAAATTACATCAATTATAAAGAAGAAAAACCCAATCCTGATGGGTTTATTACATTATCATAACAGAAGACTGAAAAGACCTTTGATAAGTACCATAATTATAACATCTAGAAATGCGAGTGTGCTTTGGGCGATATTGCTCTTAGTAGCTGGAAATTAGGGGCACGTGATGAGAGGAAAAGGGGACACTTATCAAAGGAGCACATGTCAAATTACAACGGGTAATTATCAGAAGGTGAAAATGGGGCACGTATCATTGTTAAAGGGTAATTATCTGAGGTGAAAAGAAAAGGGGCACTTATGAGAATGAAAAAAGGGGCACTAATAATAAGGGGAAATGTTCATTTGTTGTACGAAAAGGGGCACCGATCAGTTTTTAATAGGGGCATTTAATACGAGGGGAAGGGGGGATTTATGAGAAGGGGGAAGTGCAGGCTATTATTAAAAAGAAAAGAGGCACATGTCAAGATAAACGGGGCACTTATAAGAGATGAAAAGGGGGTAATTATGGGAAGGGGATGGGGCACTTAAAAGAAGGCAAAAAAGAGCATTTATTAGGAAGGGAATATATATAAGGGGGCATTTATGATAAAGGGAAGGGGCTCTCTTTTAAATGGGGCAAAATAAAAGAGGCGGTTATTGAAGATGAAAAGAGCACTTATCAGGAGGAAAAGGGACACTTGTCAAAATAAAACAAGTACCTCTCAGAATTTAATAGGGTCATTTACTAGAGATGGAAGGGGACTAATGAAGAGGGAATTAAGAATGAAAAGTAACTGTTTTCATAGATGAAAAGGGGGCATTTATGATAAAGGGAAGGGGCTCTCTTTTAAATGGGGGCACTTGTTAGAAAGGAAAGGGGGCACATGTGAAAATATAAGGTGCGCTTATCCGAGTTAAACAAGGGGTAGTTATTAAAAGGGGAAAGGCCCCTCTCAGATTTGAATAGGGAAATTATCAGAGGTGAATGGGGCACTTATCAAAAGTGAAAAGGGGCACTTCCCGTATCTGAAAAGGGGCACTTACTAGAGATGGAAAAAGGGCACTTATGAGAATGGAAAATGGACACTTATTGCAAAGGAAAACCGGAACTTATCGAAGGAAAAGGGGCACTTTAAAAAAAATAATAGGGGCACTTTTTAAAGTAAAGGGGCCCTTTTTATGTAAAAAGTGCCACGTTAGAGCCACCATGGAGTCACTAACCACTAGAAATATATCATAAAGTCATCATCCACCATAGAGCTACTGCTAAAATATCTTACACCACAGGGATATACCATTCAACTGAAATACCATAAAATATACTCTACCATATATCGTACCGTAGAAATACCATACACCATACCCGCCCCCCCCCCCCAACTCAGTGTTATTTAGGGTACGCATATGCTCGTTCCCTCATTTTGAAAGCACCCCCTGAGGACTGCCAACATTTTCGAACCCCCCTTTAGCAGGCTTTTCCTGCCTTGGAGACCCCCCTAAATCAGGAAAAATGCTCAATGTACCCCCTAAATTCGGAATAATTTCTCAGGAATCCAAAGAGATGAGAGAAAAAAAAGAAAAAAACACCCCCTTTTTAAAGAAATCTCCGGGTGAAAAGTCAAATACACCCCTTTACAATTCTCGGGCTGGATTTTGTCACACGAAAAGTACCCCTTTACCAGACATTTTGGCAACACGCATGCGGTCATTCCGACCCCTGAGTGGTGGGGGGGGGGGGGGCCGGGCACCATACAGCCACCATAGAGCTACCATAGATCTACCATTCACTTTAGAGCCACCATATAGTCACTAACCACCATTAATATACCATAAAGTCATCATCCACCATAGAGCTACCACTGAAATATCCTCCACCATAGCTAGGATACCATTCAACAGAAATACCATAGAAATATATTCTACCATATAACATACCGTAGAAAAACCATACACCTACAGCCACCATAGATCTACCATTCACTTTAGAGCCACCATAGAGTCACATAACCACCATAAATATACCATAAAGTCATCATCCACCATAGAGCTACCACTGAAATATCCTCCACCATAGGGATACCATTCAGCAGAAATACCATAGAAATATAGTCTACCATATAATATATCATAGAAATACCATACACCATAGGACGGCATCAATGATACCATTGACCATAGAACTCCACCATTCAGCAATTGTGTGGTATACCATAGAAATATATTCTACCATATAATATATCATAGAAATACCATTCACCATAGAGCGGCATAGGAATATCATAGATTTTTTTTTGTAAGGGCTATAGTCAAAGTTTCATTGACTAAGAACTTGTCCTTTCAGAAATTCAAAAACTTAACCGTAGGTTAAGTTGTTGATGTTGACGCCGCCGTCAACGCCACCGGAAAAGCGGTGCCTATGTCTCGCTTTTTGCTACGCAGGCGAGACAAAAACTGTAATTTGATGATTGACCTACTTACCGAAACTCTAATCAGATTGTCTTCCAATGACGATACATAATATCAGGCGCGTACGCAGGGGGTGTGTTTTTGGGGTTAAACCCCCCTCAATGTTTCTGTCAGTGGCGGATCCGGGGGGGGGGGGGGGGGGAATTTTCACGAATTGGGAGAAGAAAAAATGGTAATTACCACCCCCCCTCCCCCCGAGTCTATAGTGATATAATGTGATAGAATGATAAAAACAAAAAAATAACATAAGGAAAGATAGAATGACAAAGTAATAGAATAATAAAAACAAAGAAAAACATGAGAAAAGATGAAAAAAGGAAGAAACAAAGAAAAACATAAGGAAAGACAGAAAGAGAAAGCGATAGAATGATAAAAACATTTCACATAAGGAAAGACAGAAAGAGAAAGTGATAGAATGATAAAAACAAAGAATAACATAATAGGTGATAGAAGGAACAAATAAAGAAGAACATGAGGAAAGACAGAAAGAGAAGTGATAGAACGATAAAAAACAAAGAATAACATAAGAGGTGATAGAAGGAAGAAACAAAGAATAACATGAGGAAAGACAAAAAGAGAAAAGGATAGAATGATAAAAACAAAGAATCACATAAGGAAAGACAGAAAGAGAAAGTGATAGAATGATAAAAACAAAGAATAACATAAGGAAAGACAGAAAGAGAAAGTGATAGAATGATAAAAACAAAGAATAACATAATAGAAGGAATAAATAAAGAATAACATAAGGAAAGACAGAAAGAGAAAAGGATAAAATGATAAAAACAAAGAATCACATAAGGAAAGACAGAAAGAGAAAGTAATAGAATGATAAAAACAAAGAATAACATAATAGAAGGAATAAATAAAGAATAACATAAGGAAAGACAGAAAGAGAAAGTGATAGAATGATAAAAACAAAGAATAACATAATAGAAGGAATAAATAAAGAATAACATAAGGAAAGACAGAAAGAGAAAGTGATAGAATGATAAAAACAAAGAATAACATAAGAGAAGGTGGCGAAGCGCGCCCGATGTTTTGATGACAGGTCACGTCACTTCTGCTTATAAGCCGGCCCCGGAGTCCACTTGGCCTCAGTCCGGCTTTTTACAAAAAAGTTGACGTTACACATACGTCGAGCCGCCCCGGGGCCGGCCTCAGTCCACTTTCAGACGTATGTGTAACAGGGGTCTTAGTACACTATTAAATAAAACTGTTTAGTACGACACATTCCCGTACATTTCCAACTGTTTAAAGTGACTCAGTAACATAAATGTGGGTTGATGAAAAAACTGCGTAATTTGTGTATGAAATGTTACTTATTATATTCCTTCTACTGTCCTAACCCTCGAACATGCAACGAATCCTGAAAAAATTCTCAAACCACATAGATATTTATGGTTTTCTTAGAAGGCGTCACTGTGAGACACCCTTTAACAGTAAATTCTCCCATCCATTTTGGAATTTTACAAACTGTATATCCATGAAATAGACATAAGGCAGGATTCTCAAAATCTTTCAACATTCAAATGTCTAGAATGGTATATAGAGCCAATTCATTGCATTCACCTAAAATCTTATTAAATTAATTGTAATACATACATGTAGGTAGGAGTATTAAGGAATCGATCAGATCAGTTTTTCCCAATTTTTATCATTAGTAATGGACTGTTTTCACTCTTTATCTTTAATTGTACATCTAGCATTGAAGTCACTACCTGAGCACCATTTTCTCTCATGTAAACAATGTTACCAAGTCCCTTTAAGGTAGATTTTTGTCAAATTCAATCACTTATATTCAATGTGTAGCTAAAATACATGTTTGTTGGAATAGTACCTTAAACCTTGAGACATGACACAGAAAATTTGATTAATCAAGCAGCATACAAAATCTTGTAAGTTCAGCAAACATTTCTTTCTTTTATACAATTTGATTTCAGTCCAATCAATCTGGTAACTTTGGCAAACATTAAATAGAATAACTAACTTCAAGACAAATACATTTTAACAAGATTTTATATTGACGATAAAGTGTAAACTCCAACAATCCATAACGCCAACAGCGTAAAACACAAGTGCATATAATTATAAATAGAATATTGTTATATTGTATTGCCCTAAGCAACATTCTGTACACAGAACTTATCTCCTTACCATAATATTTCATACAATGCCATTGATATGCCATCAAGGTTCTTTGTAAAATTACTTTCAGAAGACATAATATTACAAATTCTAATGTCAGGATTAAACTAGATGGATCTTGGACTGTGTGCAGTCGAAAATGATACCTCCGGCATAGAGCAATTCTACAAACCAAAACAGAGGCAATTTCTATAATTCAGGTTTGATGGTAATTAACAGGTTCTCAGAATATCGTGATTAATTACAAGCTATTTTTCATATACATGTATGACCCTTTGATCTTTGACCTCATGACCCTAAAATCTAATCAGTTCATTGACTCTGCAAGATACTTACATGTCTTGACTTTGATGGTAATCCATCCATCGGTTCTAATGATAATATTATCACGAGCTATTTTTGCATACATAACGAGCCCTGTGACTTTTGACCTCGTGACACCAAAATCTAATCAGTTCATTGGCTCCGCAAGATACATACATGACCCAAGTTTGGCGGGAATCCATCGATCAGTTCTTGAGATAACGTGATCACAAGCTATTTTTGCATACATAATGAGCCTGTGACCTTTCACCAGTTGACCCCAAAATCTAATCAGTTCATTGGCTCTACAAGATACGTACATGACCTAAGTTTAGCGGGAATCTATCAATCGGTTCATAAGATAATGTGATCACAAGAAGAAAGTACGTACGGATGGACGGTCAACCCGAAAACAATGCATCCAGCTACTTTGTAGCGGAGGCATACAAATCATGGATGTTTCCATCCTAACATAGATTAATAGCCAGATACTAAATTTTCTAAGATGATATAAAAAACAGAATGTCAGTTGACATAATGTATGTACAAAGTAATGATTGGCTGAAGTCATAATGTGATAATTAAACAGCTTCCACTCAAAAATGCACTTCACTAGTTTCAAATACACCGTTGGTCACAAAAATGGAATATTTTTTTTACCCCAATTTATGGAATGATTTGACAATGATTTATGCCTAATAAATCTAGATAATAGTATACATTCTCAGATGTTATTGAATAATAACTTGCGAGTGTTTGTCTTGCGTGACTGCTACTATGTGTATGCTACTATGTTACTATGTTTATCAACTAGAAGACCTACATGTACGTCCTTAAGTCATAACTGAAAGTAATGAGGATTAATGCCTCACAAAAGGGCACTAATATAGCTGATTGACATGGTTTTGATCCTGGGGCTTCACAATTACTAGGCCATTGCTTTGCCACTGAATCATAGCAGTACGCAGTGGGGGCCAGCCCCCCCCCCCCCCCCAAATAAATAAAAATAAAATAAAAAATGCAATAAATGATCAATAATTCATTGCATTTTTCCCCCAACAGGAAAAATCCTCAGTTTGGCAATGCCTCGAACCATAATGCATGGCCGTATAGAGGAATTTGTCCCATTGGGGACCGAGGAAAAATGCAATGAATTATTGATAATTTATTGCATTTTCTTTCTTTTTATTATTAGTGGGGGCTGCCCCCTACCCTGGCCCCCGCTGCGTACAATAATGATTCAGTGGCAAAGCAATGGCCTCTTAACTGTGAGGCTCCAGCATAAAAACCCATGTCGATGAGCTATATTAGTGCCCTTTTGTGAGGCATTAATCCGCATTACTATCAGTTATGACTTAAGGAAGAAGGTCCCCAGTTGATAGTAGCATACACATGCTTAGGCAGTCACGCAAAACAAACACTCGCCAAATTATTATTCAATAATATCTGAGAATCTAGATCTATTAGGAATAAATCATTGTCAAAATCATTCCATAAATTGGGGTTAAAAAAAATATTCCAACTTTGTGACCGACAGTGTAAACTGGAATTAGTTTTACATAAAATTGGTTCGATCCTCCTTACAAGACTATTTCAGGAATGTTGAACAAATAAAAAGTCATTTGAACTCGATGGTAAGATCTTAGAGAAAGAAGTTTTCCTCCAGGAACAAATGGCTCGAAACAGGATCCGTACAACTCTGACAGAACTCTGTCTCACTTGGAGAGTTGAATGATCTGCATTGATTTGCATTGAGGCAGAAGTGACACATTGTTTGGAATATTAAATGGAACAGATATAGACAAGAGAATAGAAGTGAGAGAAAGAAGGGGGTGGAGAAAGAAGGGGGTGGAGAATAAAGCAAACGTTAAATTAAAGCACAGCTTAGGCCGACATTGAATCATTCAAATACTATACATGTGGAATTTATATCATGACGTCCCTTTTTTGAGATGTTAACAATTTCAAAGTGGTGCAAATAAAGAACAGTTAGTTTACTGAAGTCACACACAAAATTATACAATCTGTATAACACGATGTTGGAAAGAAAGTAAAGATAAGTTAGTTATCTATGTATTTCAAATTGATTTCATAATTTCAAGAGGTATGACAAGGAATATCCAACAAGCATTCCTATTTGATGTAATATTTTCTGGTGTCTTTTTCTGCTTCTTCACATTACGTTATTCACTTTTACCCTGCAAGACTAGATCTACAATCTTTTAACAACATTATTTATCTAAATTCCTTTTAAATTCTGACGAAGAGTAACTTAGCCTCAACTGCATTTAAACATTTTTCTGATGATTTTCGTTATTTCATCAATCTGTAACACTTAAGATAACATACCTCTTCTGAGATGATCTATTTGGTTGGAAAAGATCACAAAGAATGCCATCACTCTGGAACATCATCTGAGAAGATACCTTGATTTCTTTTTTTTTTAAAAGGGTAAAGCAAAAGAACATGCAATTGATTTGTGGATAAGTTACATTTTTTGTTTGCAATTTTTTGCAATATTAGGACTCATGTTTTATGGTAACTAGACAGGAAGCTGCTCAGTCATAAAAAATTAAAAAAAAAGATTATTAATTAACAGATTTTGTTAATATTTTACTGTCTGGATGACTGAAAATATTTATAAATCAACTAATAATTCTGACTGCCTACATAACCCTCTCTTATTCTTTGTGTAGATACTGAAAAGGTAATTATGAAAATATTGTACCTCTTTTAGTGTTGCGGTTCTTATGAGGAAGATCCTCTACTTTGCGATTGGGTTGCGGTACCTTCAGAGAATATTTTATGCCTAGACTGTTGTTGCCTCCCTCAGCAGCGCAGCCTTCTTCAGTCAGGGACCCATTCAACATGCTTTCCTTTGTTTTCATTCTTCCTGATCTTCTCACTTTTACTGTTGCTGCATGATCCTCCTTTTCTACTTTGGTTCTGTTTGTCTTCAGTGCTGGATTGTTTGGTTTTGAATTTGTCTCTACTAAGACATCTCTTTTGTTTGATGATGTCGCCAAAGAAGCACCCTGAGATGCTACAGCCTTCTTTGGTGATACCAGTTTCTGGTTATTGTTCTTTTTGGTCTTTTTTGCAGTAGTTATGGAAACGATGTCTTCTCCTCCTTCACCTTTCATTTTCCTCTTCCTACTAGGAGAAACAATCACCATTAGAGCTTGCTTCACATCTTCTACTCTACAAGGTTTATCTGCATCAAGTCCATGATGTCTAGAGCTCTTGGATGATTCCATGGTCATGCCATCTTGAAGACGCATCTTCCATTTCTGTAACATTGGTGATTCTATTTTGATATCTGGTGGTGTCTGGAACCATTGGGTTGAGGAGGTCATCAGTTTTCCTGGGAATCCGAAGTCGAATTTAGGGCTGTCGGGTGACAAGCTGGCCTTGGTTGATGACATTGACATAACCTGTGAAGGACAAAGAAGAACAAAAACTAGTTTTAAGCAATCGGCACATTAGGCATATAATTTTCACAATTTGAAGCATGGGAATGATGACTGTCCCACAAGTGCAGCCAAGACTACTACCCATAGCATAGGAAGGATCTCTCACCCCTCCCAAATTTACTCCTCACTTAATAAGTCATGAAACTGTTTCAAATCTTGACAAGAAAGTAAAACAATTCTTTGTTTTGTAAGGCGTGAGATAAGTGTACAATATCAATTTTATGAAATGTATCAAAAATATAACCGACTATGGTTCTGACAATTAGGATGCTGATCATTTCACATACTACGAGTCACAGAGGCAAATTATATAATATATAGTATTTTTGAGAGCCAATTATTTCACATTTTATGATGATTGCTTAGACTATGTGTAGTAAAATAATTTGCAAAAAAGGTAAGAAATTAAATTAAATTAATTTATTTGTTTGTGCACCACCGCCAGGGATGGGGGAGGGGATAGTCACTGTCCAGTGTAGTTGTAAGATATGAAAACAGGTTATTGGTTTTTAATAAACCATTAAAAATTCAATTTTCTAGTTGTTTTACATCTACCAAATATATCAGATCATGCTCAGAAAAAAAAAATCCATACTGTTTAGTACAGAAAGAATGTTGACGTATTGGCTGAACGCACTTCAGACTTATTTAGTAAGTAGCAGTTGTGTGAGGATGGATTTCCTAAATTTATTAAGTTGCAAGGAGTAGTCTTCTATAGGGGTAGATTTTTTGAGAAAACCAAAAATTGTCCATCAAAGACTTGGGCAGCTGATCATTCCACATCCACCGAAGATGTGTCAAGATATCTAAGTGTCCAATTTTTCTTTTAAATAACTTGAAGCAATAATAATTTTACTTTAAACTTTCTTTTTCTTTCAAGTTTTCTTTAAACAAATGTGTATCAAACTTAATATTGCCAATGTTATCCCTTACCTCAGATGCATCCATTGAAGCAAGTGACAGTTGGCTGTGTGTTGGTGTGTGTGTTCCTAAACCAGAACTCTGCTTAATGAAACAGACTCCATTCCAGCTGAACAAGATTTTGTTCTCGTATTGACTGCCTGAGATATCTTCAGATTCTTGAGACAAAGAAGGCAAAGTTTGGGCACTACTTTCATTGCTGCTTTTGTGGTAGTACTCGTAAAAGGCATCGTTGCCAACATCATCATCAGAATTGTCCTGGACTTCATCTGAGGAACTGTCTCGGCGGGCACTCACTATCCATGGTACCTCCCTCGCATCATCATCAATGTCACCAATTGTGGAAGGCACATCATCTTTCTTTCCTCTTGCTGCAACATTGGGTTTGCAACTTCCCTTGACATCTTGGTCTTTTCCCAGACTAATGATAGGATTCTTGGTGCTCTTAGCATTCCTTCTGCCACAATTTTTTTTCCCATTACCAAGATTTTGTGGAGATTTACCATTCAATCTCATCTCGGTAGAGTCTTGTGGTCTATGTCCTGGTGTCATGGTGGGAGACTGATTGTCACCAATGAATATTCCGGAATTCACAGTGTTTTCAAGGTTGTACTGTTCCGGATCAAACACATGTTCTGTCACTCCAGCTCTTAATCGTGTCATACTACCTCCTTTCACTGGCACCTTAGTCACGGAAGGGACATGTGATCTGGCACCATCATCTTCAAACTCGTACATCTTTTTCTCTTCAAGAGACAGTTCTCTTTTCTTCATATGACCTTGTGATACATCCTCAGTCAATTTGCTCTTCTCTCTCTTCGTCTTTTCAACTCTTCCTTCATTAAACTGCTGTTCACGAATGGAGCTTCTGGTGTTTGGTCTTGATGGTGGTGATGACTGATCTAAGTTGAAAGTTGCCCTTCCAGTTGAGACATGCTTCTTTGCAGAGCTTCGGTAAATTAATAGCAAAAGAATGTTTTAATTTATTTTTCTTAGTTGTTGCATGTTAAAAAGCAATCTATAATGCAAGTGAGCACTGGAAAATGAAATAATTTCTAACCCAGATGGATGCACATGCACTTTCCCTTCATACTGTCTTTCACATAGTCAGAATTGAAGACATTACCCATTGAATTCTAAATTGAGATAACTCAGGCTAGGATACAAGGAAAATGTGTGTTATACCTAAAACAAAACTGATAATGTGTGTGTTTATGAGCCATTTCCACCTTTTATCCTCCTGATATGCCCTTGTGCTTCATCTGAATGTTGGACCATTGGGAAGTGATAAATTAATGTATTATTTAAACAGAAAACTCATACCTGAGAGTCCGTTTCCTGCTTGTTAGAGACCGTGGATCTTTGATGCTTGAACAAAGGGTACACTCCGGGCATGAACCGGCAACACTTGCAGGGCTTCCATCACTGAGATGTCCACCATAAGAGCTGATCTGGTCCAGAGGAGCTTTCTTTTTGCAAAGTCCTTGGAGTATTGAACCTTTGAAGGAAGATTTAGCAGTAGTGCTGCAGATGAAGACAGCCAAATGTGAATTAACAATTGCAATATCTTAAAACAACTCAAATTTACTATTTATATTGTCAGTCGTCCAGGTAACATTAACCTAGTGAATTATCATGAACCTTTTCCTCCTGAAAAACAGCACTGTTGCCCAAAATTTACCTCCCCAGCCCCATTCACGTTGGAGTGTTCAATTTTGTTTGGGATAAAATTAAATTTGGAGAGGGTTTCCTCCCTAGATCTTTTGAAATTCCCCTCACTGAGAGGCAAATCATGAAACGTGTATTATCTAGTCAATTATGAACCATAGTCAATGACTTATGATTAATTTACTAGACACATCCAATTTCTAGAAAAATTGGCAGATGTGGTTTTCCTGCAGGAACACCTGTAAGACCATTCTTCTATGAAAAAAATCATACCATGACGATTTGAGACAAAGGGTTGCACGTTTCTCTGCCGAAGCTCTCTCCCAGAGGTGCTTAATCTTCCTCTCGATCTGTTTCTTTGGCAAGAAAGGATATCTGGCAGACAGTTTGGTTTTTTTGATGTTGTAGAAAGAGTAATAGTTGGAGTCAGATTTGGTCTGGTCTGATGGCCTCCTTCGTGACAGAAACAACGGAGGTACCATCTTTCTGCTTTGTTTTTTCTAATCCAGAGAAGGAATGCGATTAAAAAAGTACAGACACCAATTACCAAGATAAATTAATTGTTTTTTATCATCAAATTCATGAAGGGGTGACCAAAGTTTGCTGAGATTTTGAAAATATTATCAAATGTGATATTTGATCTATGATTTCTCACATTCTACACAAATATATTTCTTTCAATTATTACCAAATGGACAGCAAATTTTGTTAATACAAATTGGTTCAACTAGAAAATTTATTGTCAAAGGATTCCAGAGATATCGTGATCTAATATTTCGATGTCAGATCTGCGTGCGCGCTGCAACTAAGAAAGTCATAAAAACAACGAGACCTTACTTCACACTATGGCGCTGACCCCAAAACTGTACAAACTACAGTTGTTGCCCTCTGCATGTCATCAGTTTCGAGCAGATCAGCCCATGTGAAAAAGCTTGACACCACACCTATCGAAAGATAACAGGCTGCCTGAAACCAACAAAAAAAGAGGAGATATATCACCTCACTGGCTTCGGATCTCCTAATCAAAGACGCACTAACACCTGACCTGACACAACATATGAATAATAATAATAACTAGATTTGTAATACTTGTTTGGAACAAGTATAGGTGGGCTGATCCAACAAAAAATTGAGACAAAATGAAGGGTACATTTGAGATAGCTTTTTGTCTCAGCTACAACATACTCGAAGTTCAGCGTAAATGAAGCTAAAACGACGTAGATATTGCTCGCGAAAGACGGGAATGTAGAATCAAGTTTTGAGAAAAAGTCATGTCCCATAGAGAATACACGGAAAATGTGAAAAATTGACATGCCTCCTTTAATCGCAAAAATACGCCATGATGCCTTTGTCAAAATGAAAAATTGTGATGACTGGATTTGTAGAGAATTGTCTCAGCTAGTACATATCAAAATTTTGAAGACAATCGATCAATTTTTACAAAGATACAATCAATTTTCCAAAAATATGCGGACGTCATAATATGCAAATTGAAATTTTGAGTTCGGAGGCCATTATGATGAAGTCATGAGTTAATTGAGGGTCAAATGAGACATGAAATCATATCTCCGATTCATACTCAATCAAAATATGAAAAAAAATTGGGGTCACCTTGCATCCTAAAGAGCTACAATGGATTTTGCATAGGCATGTTTTTGCCCATATATGCTATGTATTACAAGAGCTCGCGCGCACAGAAATTTATGTTTAACGGTCGATCATTCCGTCATTAATAGTCATAAAGAGATAAACATGCTATCAATTTGTTTGTAAAAATATGTGGAATATTATGAAAGAAAAAAAATGGCAATTCTATGTTGTGCAATAGTTTTACGCACAAAAACGCGCACGCATGTGCGTGTGCGCGATTTTTTATAAAATGCTTAGAATGGCCTAAAAAAACGTATGCAAAATGATTTTGAAACGATTTTGAGCATTTCAAAATTTTACGCGCGCATTGACGCGCGGACGTACGCGCATGCGCGCGTTATTTGACCTGCCATTGACCGGATGGATATTGACCTTGATCATAATAAATATGAATGAGAAATACCTTTTGGTTATGAAGATATGATCATGAGTTTATTTTCGTAAAATTTTACAAAATGGCGCCTAGATGACGTCATCAGTAAAGGTCAATGTTGAAAACGTTATTCTGCTTTGTACATATGCCTATACATATGTGTGCCAAATTTGAAGTCATTTGATTGAGCCATTTTTATGTTATCTTGTCCACAAAAAAGTGGTTAGAAATAAGAAAAATAAACTAGATTTGTAATACTTGTTTGGTACAAGTATAGGTGGGCTGGTCCAGCTAAAATTTTAGACAAAATGAAGGGCACATTTGAGATAGTTAATTGTCTCAGCTACATCATACTCAAAGTTCAGCGTAAACGAAGCTAAAACGACGGAGATATTGCTCGCGAAAGACGGGAATGTAGAATCCAGTTTTGAGAAAAAGTCATGTCCCATAGAGAATACACGCAAAATGTGAAAAATTGACATATGCCTCCTTTAATCGCAAAAAATACGCCATGATGACTATGCCAAAATGAAGGATCGTAGTCACTTTATTTGTAGAGAATTGTCTCAGCTAGTACATATACAAATTTTAAAGAAAATCGATCAATATCTACAGAGAAACAATCAATTTTCCATAAATATGCTGACGTCATAATATGCAAATTGGAATGTTGAGTTCGGAGGCCATTATGATGACGTCATGAGTTAATTGAGGGTCAAATGAGACATGAAAAAATATCTCCGAATCATACTCTATCAAAATATGAAAACAAATTGGGGTCACCTTGCATCCTAAAGGGCTACAATGGATTTTGTATGGGCATGTTTTTGCCCATATATGCTATGTATTACAAGAGCTCGCGCGCACGGAAATTTATGTTAAACGGTCGATCATTCCGTTATTAATAGTCATAAAGAGATAAACATGCTATCAATTTGTTTGTAAAAATATGTGGAATATTATGAAAGAAAAAAAATGGCAATTCTATGTTGTGCAATAGTTTTACGCACAAAAACGCGCACGCATGTGCGTGTGCGCGATTTTTTATAAAATGCTTAGAATGGCCTAAAAAAACGTATGCAAAATGATTTTGAAACGATTTTGAGCATTTAAAAATTTTGCGCGCGCATTGACGCGCGGACGTACTCGCACGCGCGCGTTATTTGACCTGAAATTGACCGGACGGATATTGACCTTGATCATGATAAATATGAATGAGAAATACCTTTGGGTTATGAAGATATGATCATGAGTTGATTTTTCGTAAAATTTTACAAAATGGCGCCTAGATGACGTCATCAGTAAAGATCAATGTTGAAAACGTTACTGTGCTTTGTACACATGCCTATACATATGTGTGCCAAATTTCGAGGCATTTGATTGAGCCATTTTTGTGTTATCTTGTTCACAAAAAAGTGGTTAGAAATAAGAAAAATATTTAATAATAAATAAATAAAGGCAATTCTAACGAAATTATAAGGTGGTCTGTACGTTATACAGCCCACCTGATAATAAATAAATAAATAAAGGCAATTCTAACGAAATTATAAGGTGGTCTGTACGTTATACAGCCCACCTGACTAGAAATATCGCAATCTGTATTGCTGCGCAATGCGAATGTATCCCCCGGCAGTGGCAGCGATTTATAGATGTGTAAATGTGTAGATTGTACCAAGATACAATTCTAATTCTCTATACAAAATTGGAAGGAAATCCGTCATGAAATATGACCTGCAGAGCGCACACTAGACATGCACCCATCAAAATATGACCTTTTGACCCTATATAGAAGACGGAACACTGGGGGCAGCATCACCAAAAATTGTAGGTGTGTATATTATACCAAGATACACCTCCATACAAAATTTGAAAGAAATCCGTAAAGGAAGGAATGATGCAGTTAGACCACAAACTAGAATGCTACAAAGAAATCTATCAGAATATGACCTTTGACCCTATAAAAGACGGAACACTGGAGGCAGCATCACCAAAATCTAGAGGCTTGTAGATTATACCAAGATACACCCAGGGGCGTCGCTAGACCTTTTTCAATGGGGGTGTAGAGGCCAACAATTACCGACAAAACTAGCCCCCAATCACCGACAAAATTAAATGTCCCAATATTTACAAATTTAACCCTAGACTCTATACCCGGAGGCTAAATTGTTTTTCCTACGGACTATCTATAGTACCGGTACTTGCGTTCCCGGTATACCTGAAATCTGTCTCTGAATTCAATGTTTTTTGTGAGTTTTGCAGACGGCAACCTGCCCTAACTTTGTGTATGAAGGGGTGACCAAAGTTCGCGGATATTTTTCTTTTCTTGCACATTACAAAATATCCACATCAACATATATCATGTTTCATACGTCTTAAGATTAGTAATTTATCATATAATCAAATTAAAATGACATTCCAAGGCTGTATTTACTTCAAACCAATGATAAGACGAAAATATCGGAAGGCTTACCACTACCGGCATCTGTCAAAAAGTGTGACCTAAGTTCGCACATGATATTTACTGCCCTCTTGTGATGGGCGTTACATATTTAAACATTCCAAAAAGGGACATAGCTTCGATCAGAAGCCGAACTTTATATTGAAACTTTGAAAAAGATAAATAATTCTCTCTATCATTGAAATTTTGCCCGAAAAAAATACCTTGTTAAATTTTTCAAATAAAAGACAATATTTTTCAATGTTTATGTGTTGATGACAATATAGTCCCTATCTGCATGTCATTTATTTGTTTAAAAAGCTTATCATGTGTCTCCTTTTTATATGTCAGCCATACATGAGTTCTCGCTCTTTTCTCTCTTTGTCTCTCCACTTTCCCCTTTTAAATTGTATTCTTACGAAACCCATAGATTCATTGTAATTCACAAACACAGATACGGTGGAAGCAGGCGCGCAGGTTCCGTTTTTTTGTGTAAGAAATTGGAATTTTATCATTATTTTTCGGACCCAATACCTCTAATAAACTGATTTTCATATAAAAAAAACACAATTTCTTATGATAAAAAGCGTGAAAAAGCGTGCTTATTCACATTTTTATATCGCATTTTGACCTTTGGAGTTTTCGACGGTGCTCAAAGATTTCGTTGTCTCAGTCCCACACAGGCATCGCGTATCGTTCTCCTGTTACAAGCGCTTTTAGTGTTAGTACGCGAACTTTGGTCACGCGCGAACTTTGGTCACACCACCATACTAACGATATAGATCTAGGTTAGTAGTATCAAATGCATGCAAGTTACCCGCCTGAGCTAGGCTCCTATTTTGCGTTCGAGCTGTTGAAGTAATTTTTGTCCGAAGCCTGGCAATGTCTGAAGTTTGGCGGTTTTACTCTATATCTAGATCCAGGCCTAGACTATTAAAGATAAACTCCAGTACTGGTAAAACTAGATGGAATTTTGACTGCGTGCAGTCGAAAATGATGCCTCCGCCACAGAGCAATTTAAACAAGTTTGGAGTTTAAATCTCCAGTGGTTCTTGAGATATCATGTATGGAATTTCATAAGTTGACCTCTGTGACCCTTGACCTTTGAACTACGTGCTCCAAAATCTAATCAGATTGTCTTCCTATGGTGATACACACTATCATTAAGTTTGAAGTTTAAATCTCCAGTGGTTCTTGAGATATTATAATATGGTGATACATACTATCATTAAGTTTGAAGTGAAAATTCTCCAGTGGTTCTTGAGATATCGCGATAACAATCTCAATGTATGGAATTTCATAAGTTGACCTCTGTGACCCTTGACCTTTGACCTACATGCTCCAAAATCTAATCAGATTGTCTTCCTATGGTGATACACACTATCATTAAGTTTGAAGTTTAAATCTCCAGTGGTTCTTGAGATATTATAACAATCTCAATGTATGGAATTTCATAAGTTGACCTCTGTGACCCTTGACCTTTGACCTACGTGCTCCAAAATCTAATCAGATTGTTTTCCTATAGTGATACACACTATCACTAAGTTTGAAGTTTAAATCTCCAGTGGTTCTTGAGATATCATGATAACAATCTCAATGTATGGAATTTCATAAG